TATATTTTCTTTTTCAGAAGAATGATTTTTAAACATACAAATCATTACGATCACAATCCATAATCACTGTTACATGTGTGCTGCCTGCATTGTCTGACAAGCACAGAACCCCAGAAACAGAAAAAAAACAAAACATTCCTGTTAATGTCCAGCATTAGGGGAAGTGTAGAGCATGATATTAAGGCGCAAAAAAAAAAAAAAAAAAGAAGAAGAAAATCCAACATTTGCGATTATACTTTTTCTCTTTTTCGCCTCAATCTCAGCTCAATTTGCCATCCCAGACCTGCAGGATATCTGGGCCAAATTATCAACCCACAAGTCTCCTCTGTCAGTGTAGGAATGAGCCGTTTGTGGAGCTGAGTGGCGCTGACCCACTTTGACCCGTCCAATGGTGAGCAAACATCTCAGGGAAAATGGATGGAGGGAAAAACAACAGACACGTGTAGGAGGTCTGGTGAATGACATGAAAGCTGGCTGATGCTGATTCTCCTTCGCTTCTCTCCTCACTCTGCCCATCCTTGGATTTACTTTGGGAGTGACTTTTTTTGTTGTTTTTTTTTTTCCCCCAAAGAGGGACTTCCTTCTGTTCTGGGGCAGAGATGGCCTCAGACTCACTCCTTCTCTTTAGTCAATGGGCACTCTCTGTGGGTGGCTGTGATGAGTGAATCAGTTCTAGTTCAAGTGAAGGTTAACCTTGTTTTAGGACGTGGCGATTTCTCCCCCTAGGTGGCGCCATCCCTTCTGTTGCGTCTCCAGTGGAGGCAGGAACTCTGTAACACAAGAAATCTGAGTGACTGCCTTATCTAGTCATGTGGCTCATGAGGAAGCTGCCAGCAGGTCAGATGAGTTTATGATCCTCGGGCTTCTAGAAAGCTTTCTCGTTCACATTTATCTAGTGGCTTGTTAACATACTTGTGATAATTGCACGTAGTTGACTGGCTGAATAGTTTAACATCTGATGCGTAGATCTCTTAGATTAGCAAGCCACTCCTTAATCCGTCATACATTACTCATAAGGCACAACAGGACAAGAATTTTACTACGCTGAGCAGTTTTTCTTTCTTTAAATAAACAGATTATAATAATAAACATCTTACTGAACCTTGTTTTATTTCGTACACTGTCTTGATTAATGTCCAACTTCCTTATTCTAATTTCAGAGTCTAGGCCTAAAATGGAACACCTTGGTAGGTTTGAAGTTGTGTCAAAAACGTTTAATTTCCAGAAAATTTACTAAATAGCGCTGAAAGCTTGGGATATAAATTTCAGCTGCAACTAACAATTATTTTGCAAATCGATGAATCTGTTGACTATATTTTTTAATAATCGATTACTAATCGGATAGCCAAAGATTCCTCAAAGAAGATTTTTTACGAAATTAAACTACAACTTTTCAACTTGAGGAGTTCTAGATAGACCATATTGAAAACATTTTTTTTAATCTTAAATGCACAATGTTAACATATTTTCTGACAATTTTGATATAATTACTGCTCTAAATAGGTTGCTCTGTTAGCTAAAGGCATGTTTTACAGTCTCTATTCTCCAGTTAATCGATTACTAAATGAGTTGATGATCATTTCAATAATCGATTAATCACGATTAATTGTGCCAGCCTTTATAACCTATTTCTAGTTTAACATGTCCCCTATTCTAACCCTCACCTTTCTATTTTATCCCTGGTCTTCATACTCTGCTTTGTTCTCTAATGTTCTCTAACAAACCCTTTGGATAAAAGCTGGATTCACACTATGATCAAATTCCACACAAGGGTGCTCTATGGGCTAATTAAAACGCATCTACATGTAACTGGATACTCTGGATTTTATTAAGTGGGAAGGAGACTCCCTTTAAATGCCAGTATATATATATATATTCCTTTCATGTCATCCTGCATTACTTTGTGCTTGGAAGATAAAATCACTAAAAAACACACTCAATTTGGGGTTTGAAGCAAATCAAAAGCTTCATGGTTATGAAGGATTCTGCAACGATCTGCTTATGTTACTCAATAAGCTTTTCTAAATATAAAACCAATTCCTCATTCTTAAAATAATTTACCAATTTCAGTATTCATTTATTTTCAATAAAGTAAGAATTACTGCTTATAATTCTCTCCCTTCCCCTGACATTTAGGTTTGATCCTATTGGTCTGCTGCATAATTCATGTTCCTAGATGGCTGCTATTCATCAAAGCAGCTCTCAGGCTGCATATTCCGCTGCGATAAAAAGCTACTATCTTGGATCTGAGTCTTTTTTAAACAAACTAAAGACTTTAAATCCGATGAACTTTACTTGAAAAATGTATATATTAATGCAAAATGCTTACCACTGTTGCTACAGTTTTTGTTGTCTTTATCAGAGGCCTCTTCCTCCACCTGAAACATAAAAAAAATTGACACTTTAAAAAAAAAATCCTAAGAAAGCATGGGCCCTGCAAAGGAGACTGTAAGAAAACAGGCTAAGTTTAGACACACAAAGCCTTTCCCAAAAGAGGAAAGGAGGGGTCCCTTACCTGCTTCCTCCACTTCAGCTCACAAAAGACGCGCTCAAAGCATTCATGCATGTAGTTGAACTGGGAGAAGAGGAAACAAGAGAAAGCTGTTATTGACACTTTCTTCTGTTCAGATTACTTCCATTTGCTTATTAAGACATAAAGAGAGGATTTTATTCTACAGTGAATTTATAAAGGGTAACAGGAATTTTAAAAAAATGTATTAAATGGTCAAGATGTTGTTAAGATCTGTTTCTACTTGGTAGATGGTTAATAACCCAGTTTTCTATAGTATTAGTGATATGTTTTTGCAATACTGGCAGATATTCAGAGGGACAATGTTTCTGTTAAATGCTTTATTTTCCATTATTATCATCACAGAGTCACAGGGATACCTGAGAGAGGAGCTAGATTTAATTGGATATAGGCAAGAGAAGCCTAATGTATACTGGAATGGAGCAATGTTCCCTATAATGATCCATGTGTCTGGGCATTTACACAAGGCCAAACTGGGAGCAACATCAGATGTGCAGGATGTGGCCACACATCAATATACCAGTTATAATCCCGGGATTATAGTAAGTTACATTGCTTATTAAAATAATCAGATTACAGCTGCTATTTCCATTAGCTAAATTTTAATATAAGAGAGTTGGCTCCTTGTTCATGATGTTATATTTGAGGGTCCTGTTCTAGAAGAAATGAGAGATTAAATCGTTCTGACATAACTTTATGTTGACATTAAGACTTTGTAAAATTGTGTACATTTCTGTATCCCTGTAAGTCTGCAAAATATTTTATGACACAGTCTGTATTAGCATCCTACAATAAATTAGATAATAATAAAAGCATTAGAAGATTAATATCTATATATGAAAAATGTCTCAATAAATGTTACTAGAATAGGAACAAATCTGACTTAAATCTGATCTGTTTTTCTTGTCTGTCTTTCTCATTTCTTCGATGGTTTTCCAAATATGCCACTTTAAGAGCTTTCTGAATGCTGTTTTGATACGAATCATTAAACTAAATCTTTCGCAATCAGCACTGGATGCTTCAAATGTAGCACCAATATCCACAAGCTGTGAGATCTCCTTTAGCTCCTCACACCTAAGTGTTTCAGCCATCTTATCTCCTGTTAAAGTCATTGCTTCATCATGTAGCCTATCTGAATTTTTCGACGAAAAAAGTCACATATAGCATAGTGCATTGAAAAGGCGCGTCTTCAGCTGTGTGCCTGTTGCAAACCAGTGAGTATCATTGTTCTGGAAGCCCAGACTGGTTAAGAATTTGGGCCCCAACATATTCTTCTTTTTGCTGGATTATTTATTTATGCATCTGTAGCTCTCTCTAATGTGCTGAATAAGGTCATTTGGTACTCTTTTAAAGGAAACTGAGGTTTAATTAAACATATTCATCCAAATGCAAATCTTGTATGTATTTGTTTTTTATAAAACTTATTTGATAGTGATATTTTGAACTGGGGTTGAAGAGTAAATGGTGCACATAGATTTATAGGAAATTAATAAATGTATTTCATATTTACCCTATTCATTTGTTTTCTTATATATATATTTAATTTATTGTGGTAATGAAATATAACTGTTCTCAATTTCTCTATATTATGAAATAACAGCTGTTTCTTTTTCATTGTTAGGTTTAAGTTGAAAAATGAAAGAATGATACAGGGATTCATAGAAGTACAGCAAAAAAAAGTTATTAGTCTAATTGATTTACAGTTTATGTTGGATTTTATTCTTTATGCAGCATAGATTTTCTTGAGCGCTAAGAATATGCTAGCATTGAGTGATTGCTAAAGCCCACAGCTTAGAGGGAACATTAGTATGGAGACATTAGGTTTTGTGTAAATATAAGGTAAACGTTAAAAATTTGAGGCTATTTTTAGGGATAAAAGGTCAAAACTGACATTTATCCATCCACAGCCTCTGACAGTGAATATTTATACATTTTTTAACAATAAAACCTTAGAGTGTGCGCAACCACACTTACATATGGAGTGAAGATCTTAACCCAGCGAGGTTTTTTCTCTCCTCTGGCATACTCGAAGCAGAAAGCCATGCCTTCCTCATCAGTGTCCCATCGCTGCATCTCTGCCCACTCAAAAGCTATTACCTGGTTCTAAAGAAACAGACATTTACCTGAATGTTATAATTAAATATGTGAGAAAACTGATTTTCATCTAAAAAAAGCATAGAGACATTATCGCTAAAAGTCACAGAAAGTATGAATGTAAACAAATAATCGACTTACAAGTAGTTGTCGATTAATGGTTTATTAAATTGAAAATTGTTCCTCCGGTTAACTGATAAAAGTTTTCCTTCTCGGTATGAGAGGAAACTGAAGTTTTTAAGAAAATGGCCGCTTATCTATAAATCTTTATCTATCTATCCATCCATCATTAGTTGATCGATAAGATCAATCAACTTTAGATTAATCAATTGATCAAAATCTTGAATCCCCAATAAAATGAAACATAAAAAGTGATGAATCATGTCCTGCAATTAAAATAGAATTGGTAAATGGTCACCTCTAGTGTGCCGTCCTCAGTGCACGCATGCAGCTTGAAGTGATGGATGCTGATAGCTGTGATGACATGGCCCTTCCTCCTGGAGTCACAGGAGCAGTGTGGGAAGACCACCTCATTATAGCCCTCACATGTCCGCAGCAGGCTCAGGTACTAACAAGCATCATAGCAGACGGGAGACAGTATTATCCAAAACAACCAGCTTAATTAAAAGTCATGAAAAATAAGAATAAAAAAAAAAATGCATCCCACTGTCTAAATGGAACTGACTGAGTCTTAATGTAGGCAGATTAACTAAAGTACATTTAATTAATGACATCAGTGTAAAGTACAGATATGGTGTGAAAAGGAAATCATTTTAGCCATAATTTTTTGCTTGGCTCCATCACATGACCTCCTCCTCTAATAGGTTACAATGTAAAAAAAACATAAAATGGTTTAAGTACATCTGAGAATGCACCACAGAGTGATGTTAGAGACCAACTTCCTTTAATAAGTCGCAAAAAAACAGCCTAAGGGTATTAGTCTTAATTAAAAAAACAAATAATTTCTGATGCTGAAGATCTAGAATTCATTATTTTTTATCCAATCAAATGACTTTGCCGGTTTCATAAACACTTTTTAGCTGTTACCTGAATTGGATGTCTAGTAATGCAATATATTGATACTAGAATTGTAGGAACATTTAGAGCTCAAAAACCTTTTCTTTTTTAACTAAGTCCTTGTTGTAACCTCCGAGGTTTGTTGTCTAAACCATTAAAACATTTCAGACCATTTCTGTCTGTGTTGGGAGTGTTTTTCCATTCAGTCCCCCCGGACCCCCCCAATAAACAAAGACTAGCCTGTGGTACTGACTGTGGCCATCTTGCGCTGCTCTGCCAGTTTCTGCAGCTGGTAGGATTTGTCCTCAGTTTTTATGAATCCCTTCTTCACATCGTCAAGAGCCTAAATGGACAGGGAAGGGTAGGAAGGGGTCAGAGAGATGCACAGATGATTACATGTTTAAGAGGAAAAACAGGCACTGTCCAGCACAAAATCAGCAAAAACAAAAACGAAAAAAAATTCTGATAGTGACTGTTTCTGCTCTTTTGTTTCTGTTATTATAGTTTCAAACAATATAATTACTCTGCAAACTAGACATGAGCCACTATAAGATGGTCTGGTTAAGATACCCTTAAGCAAAATACAGAGGTTCATTAAGGCTAATGCAATTATCTAGAACAGATGTGTAATACAGAATTATCCAACTGCTTGTATTTATTTCATTTGGATTATTATTAGTTAAAGGTAATGAAAATACAGAACTCAGATTCTTAAAAAAATTTAATTATTAAACCACCATTATTTGACTATTCTCTACAGGTGAAACAGAGTTTTATAAAGCAGGAAAGTCAGCACTTGTCCTTGTATTGTACAGTATGCACCCAGGTTTGGGTTAGAGCTCCAGTTTCATGAATCCCTGCATCAGTGCAGCTCTGCATGGAGATGATCAGCTTGTGCCTCTGCTAAGGTGTTAAGAATATCCAGCTTTCATTATCTGTGTTTTCATTAACCAGATGGATTGTAATTCTGAAAAAACAAAATTCACTAACTGGAAATACTGTTTTTTGATATAAGGTTTTTATGCTTCTATGAGGTGGTTGTTCAGTTATACTTTTGAAAACTGAAGTAGAAACACTGTTTTTCTCATCATACGAGTCACATGATCTGCAGCTGGACCTTACTGCTTTATAAAGAAACAAAGAAGACTGGAGTTGGAGGATGATTGTGCTCACTAGAGCCGTGGCTGATGCGTTTACATCCGTGGCTGCCATGTTGTTTTCAGAGCTATCGTGTGAAAAAACTTATTTACGTTCAATCTTAAAAGAAAGTTAATTAATGGAAAAACTGCAATTGCAAAACCTAAGGGTGCTCCAATTGATCGGTCACCGATCGTTATCGGCCGATAAAGGCTTTAAATAGTTTGATCGGCGGTTTCTATAAAGGCCGATCAGATGGGCCGATGAGACGCACTACTTGTTGAATTCACTCATCCGATTCCTCTAGGGGCGCTGTAGTTGCTCTGCATCGCTATGCGACTGGAAGTGGGGAAGAACAAGAAAACGGACGGTCCGTTTTCTTGTGGTGAGGCAAGTTTGGAAGCGACTGGCACCGAGCCCCCAGAGAAAGTACCACGAGCTGGCTCCTTACACGCTATGTATGCTGCGTTGTTGGATAAGGACGGGGAACATGGTGGCGGTGACATCAGCAGCTCAACATCATCGCAGATTAACCTGTACCTATCAGAGCCAGTCATCCCACGGAGCGGACAGCCACTTGTTTTTTGGCGAGACAATAAAAGTCGTGTCCCCGCTCTCGCACAAGCAGCCCACGCCTACCTCTGTGCTCCGTGCACAAGTGTAGATAGTGAGCGACTTATTAGCACAGCAGGGAATATTGTAGATGAGAAGAGGAACAAGCTGTCTGCCAAAAATGCAGAGATGCTTATATTTCTAAAGAAAAATCTGCCATTGATGCTTAACAAGTCAGCTTTAAGAGAAATGGCTTTACTAATCTCTATTACTCTTCTTTCTCATTGACTCATGATTTCCATGCTGTGCACTTTAAATGTATGTAGATTTAAAGGAGCTAAAAGAACATTTAAAGTTAGCATTTGTTTGAAATTTACAAAACTTTATTACTACTGAAAAATGTCTGCAGTGATTAGAAGGACATTTTAGATTTTGAGCTAGGACAAAAAGCCAGAATTACTGATATATTATCTAAAGATGTGTGACTGTTCTGTCATGGCTTCTATTTTCAGTTAATTACCGCAGGACAAGCCTAAAATACATACCTTATGCCTTTTTATCATGGCATCCCAAAACATTTGATTTTGTTTTCTTTGTTCTGCACTTTAAGTTTGTGTAAATTAACAATGACAGATTTTTTGTATCTTATTTAGAAGTAAGGCTTATTTGTTAAGCTCTAAGCTGTTTAAGATGTTTCTAAGGAAGTCAAATGTTGAACGTTTCCTGTTAATAAAAGTATACAGTTGACAATTCACAATACATTATCTTCTGTTAATTTTAATACATATGCATTTTTGTTAAGACTATTAAAATTGAATATATTACATGATAAATAGAAGGCTTCAGATAGACCCAGTGATCGGTTACCGGTGATCGGTATCAACCAATACTGCTTTCAGCAATCGGTGATCGGCCCCAAAAATCCTGATCGGAGCACCCTTAGCAAAACCGCAGTTATTGTGTCTCTGACTGTAGAGACCACGGTTTCTCTATTGAGTTTAAATCAGGAGAATTTGTTGAAGGAACTAGATATTTTTGGTTACTTTGATAGGTTTTGTGTACCATTAAATATAAAACCATCATCTCAAATAAACTTGTCAAGCACAGGGAAAGAAAGTGCTCTAAAATCTGGTGGACAGCTGAGCTGAGTCTGGATTTGACAAGGAGTTCTTTAAACATCAAGGCATTTGAAAAATTCTGGCCCTGAAGCATCCTGGATTTTCTTCCCTTCCACAATTCGTCCAGATTGTAGTCTCTTAAAACTCTGATTGGACCTTTATTTTCATCTAATGAGAGGAAAAAGGACTGTTCTGTTGGTACTAAGACACATGTGACATATCTGGTTTCAGAGTGGCTCAACAAAGGCAAGCTGACAGGGGTAGCCATGATAAATTCTTAAAGGTATAGAGGATGATCTTTTATTTGCGGGTAGATCATCTAAATAAGTGGTACTGGTACTCGTAATTGTCAATCATTTTGGTAATATGTTTATGTAAAGCTGTCCTACGTGCTCGTCCCCAGTTAGTTATCTTTATCTGAGTATCTTCAGGTGTAAATCTGTGGTGAGCTACTGTTTCAGATCGTCATTGAAGCTCACCTTTCTCATCCCAGTTCTTTGAAAATGGCCGAGGCTCATAAGAGAAAAAGTGTCTATGAAGTGTATGAGACGAAAAGAAAGGCCTCAGAAGGCGCAGATATATCCTGGAATGCTGTTGCACGGAAAGCATACTATCACAGCGGACCGCTGTCGCCATAGGCTGCCACTACCCGACAGTGGTGACTAATAAAGATGGCGCAGGCACCACGTGGTGGAGGAGGAGTTACGTGGCCAACGGGAGCAAAAAGCAGTGATCGTCTATCTGAACAGTCAGTTTATAAAGTCCACTATATAGCCCCCGCTCTATATAGCGATTAAAGGATTTAGGGGTTAGGGCGGACATTCGGGCACAGTAAGCTTGTATGAGCTATGAGAAGAGCAATTTTTCAAAAGAGCGTGCATGAGGAGAAATGGGCTTGTGCATGATCTCGCAAACGTTTAATACGCATTTCCTCTCTGGAACAGGTACAGGGTTGCGCAAGTGCATTTTTTTCTCTAAAATGCAGAGGGCAGGTCTTTCCTCCACTCTGCCTTTAAATAGATCTGGTCTTTTCCAGGATTTCTTTGACCAGAAACATTTCCCCACTGATGCATTTTGTCTGTCTATAACCGGACTAATCAAGAGAAACATTTGAAAACCTGAATGATTTGGTATCTGGAAAGAGACAAATATTACAGCCATGATCAGAGTTGTTTGAAAAATCTCTGTTCACAGTTTTACTCAGAGTGGCTGCACGAAATAGAAAGGTTCATTTAGGTGTTTTAATAGGTCACTGCTGAACTTCACAGGCCTGAGGTAATGACTGACCTAATATGCTGTAAAAACTCATGGTGTGTGTTTGAGGCATAGATTTGCATGTTATATTCTCTTTGTTATATAAACTTCTCCACAGGGTGATAAACTGTAAGCTTCTTTAGCCTTGTTTCAGTAATTAGATGGTAAAACTCATTTTCTAGTTACCCTTGATCCTTTTCATACCCAACAGGATTTTAAGGTTCTAGCATACCTGGTGGAAGCAGTAGTGAAGGGCCAGGGGGTTGTCTCTGAGCAACTCTTCCTCCTGGATACTGAACAACCATTTGCGGAGTGCTAAGCATGTTCCAGGAACCGCTGATGTGTAGTTCTGCACATAAAGCTTGTGGGGGAACTCGTTTGGGGCAAGTTTCCTCACTGCAACCAGACCAGGAAGAAGGGAAAAGAATGAGCATTGTGGTATTATTCATAGGTTTAGCATTTATGCAATATGAGAAAGTTTACAATATACACAGAGTTCTCACCAAATGAATGGTTGATGACTTCAAAAAGAGCAAAGTAGCTGGCCATGATGCTGTCCATTCCAACCTTCAGCACCAACGCCTAAAGAAAACAAGCAATAAGAACCCAGTTAGTTCCCAGGAGATCATATCTGACAGACCTTTCCTTATTAGCATGATGTATTAGCAACGCCTGCTGCAGATGGTACCAAACAGCTGCTCTTACCTGGTACACTTGGTCAGTCGTGCTGTTTTTACGCACTCGGACGGATATGGTGGTTTTGTCAGGCAGCGCTATCCGCAGCTCAACATCTGTGACTCCGTTATAGTTCTGCCAACAAGAACAACAAAATGCTGAGTGCAGATATAGAGCTGTGTTTACATTAAAGCCAAAGTATGTTTTCTAAAGCATTATAGCAAAAATACGTCTGTTTTTAATTCTAAGGTTGATAAATGGGGCCCTAAACATAATTAAGAAACACATTCTTTTTATAAGCTCAAATGACAAGGTTTTCCCTACTTTCCCTTTGCCAGTATTCTGGATATTTTAGTACAGAATATGAACCCTTAAAGTTCTCCTACATTAATGAGAGTTGATTTTAAAGAGCATATGTTCCAAAAACACTTGGGACTAAAACAGGAAATTCCATTCTTAAAGCAAATCTGGTGAAGGACATTTTATTTTGCAAGGTTTAATTATGGTTTTTATTCTTCAAATCCATCATACAGACTTCCTGAGGCAGAATATATTCTATATAAAGCAGTTAAACAACGTTGATGCGTTTACTGTGTCCTCAGGAGGTTTTAGGATATTAAACCATGATAGTTGTAAATTAAAAACATAAAATTAAATTTATAGCAAGTGGAAGCTAAGGACAATCTGACCATAGTTAGATATCCATTCCTACATCAAAACTATTTAGATTCTATTCTTCTTTTGAAAACATAGACATTGTTATATTGAAAATATAACTCAAGATTTTTCAAGAGTTTTTCTTTTTTTTATTTCACCTGCTATCAGGGTAAAAAATGACAGTAAATTAAGTTTGTAAATTAAAAAAGTTATCATATGAGAGCTAAATAACAAAGATAAAATACTGATCAATAGGACACATACCTCGTCTGATTCGGAGAGGAACTCCTGCATGATGTCACTCTCCCCTATCACCCGCACAGAACAAACTACAGAGAATAAGAGAGAAGAGACGATCAGAGTGAAGAGTTTTTTTTGTGTGTTTTTTTGATTGACTTGATTAAAAGCTTTAAAGGACAACAACTTGGAGTCTCCCTACCTCGCTCCAGGTACTCCTCTAGACCTCTACGACGAGCGTCCAGCTGCTGCTCAGAGAGAGAGAAGGGCCATTTACCAGGCAGCTTTGGGAAGTTGAAGTTGGAGAATTCCCTCTTCAGGTTTTGGTGCAGGATGGCAAACTCTCTATAGCGTTTTGAGCACAGCTGTCTGCCTGACATGTACACGTTGTAAACCTGAGGGACATTTAAACAGGTAAAATAGCTATTAATAGAGGAAACATTCAAAAGGCAAGTGCAAGTAATGCAGCAGAAACAGGAAGGCTGAATTACTCACCACAAACCTCTCCGAGTGCTGCTCCACATGCTTGTATGTGGGGATGGAAATGGGAACAGCCTGCTTGTCGCTGTAGTCGTAGTTAGGCTGGATATCCTCGCCGCCTTCTAACCCATCGGCTTCCTGAGGAGGAACGGACAGCACGGCCAGAACCAGCTCCTTCTCTGCAGCACGGATCAGGTCCACCACCTGCTTATGGGTCGCACCTTCCACATTTACCCCATTCCTTAATTAAATCGTGAGAAAAAACACTTAGAACTGCAAGCCACCTCCAAACACACCATACATGTAAGAAGAGCCTCCGGTTTAATTTATGTTACCTGAAACCAGAATGTAGCTCAATATGTGAGAACAACAACCAAACAGGATCAGATCCCAAACAGCTGATTAACTCTGCATTATCGGTGAAATTCTGCATCCATGAATATATTGACAATCCCACTCAAATCTATTTTTGGCAGAAGTAAAGCGCATTTAATAAATATGCATGGAAGCACTGACTATTCTTCCTGGACATTATGCTGTTATAATATCAGGGCCTCGCCTGTCAATGATTAATACAGAGATGGGAGTAAAGCGGGTCAGCGCTATTGTTTCCCCTTCCTTTGGTACTGAAAGATGCCTCCCTTTGCCTCGCTCTTCTTGGCTTTGATGAGACCAGATGGCGGCGGCATCAGGTGTCTCTGCTAATTTTCCATTGAGAAACAGTTGGGGGGACAGGAAGGGAATAAAACACAGAAAGATTTGCACAAATCTTTCATTCAAGACATCAGTTAGTGTTAAAAACTTGTATTTGTGCAGGATTGTGAAGAGTGAAACTCATTAAGTAACAGCCGTCCATTAACATTAACCAATGACTGCTGGTCATCTAGTAAAATGATGTAGCGTTTCATATTGGGACACAGAAAAGGGAAAAGCGGATATCTAAAGACGGTACTTAAATAAAAGATTCTCTCAAATTAACAGATTTTGACCTATAAGGTGCTTCAGACAAGTTTTTCTGACACCAAGACGTTACAACCTGCATGTTGACTTGCCAGAGTTTTTATGCTGGATGCCTTTTCAGGTTCAAACCTTTGTACACAGACTTAGCCTGCAACACCAGGCTTTTATATGAAGCTACAGCTTCTGGATTATAGAAAGAGGAAAAAATATACATTAACTCGTGACTATTTTTTTTCTCTCAACATGGATAAATGAAATTCAAAACATCATCTGCCACAAAATGAATCAAAGTTCTCTTGTTAGAGTGACTTAATTGAAAAATAAAAATGTCTATTATACAGAAATGTCTACCCCTTGCAACTCATACAAAGTGGGAAAGGAAATGAAAGGAGAAATGGGTATATTTTAAATTTTCTCCTTTTCCCCCCATTTGATTAATCCAGATGTTAAAAAACATTTAAATCAATGTATAGACTTTGCAGGGGTGTTGGGTGAATATAAGGCTTGTATTGCATCATTTCTCCTATACCAGGGAATACAAATATGACAAGAATTTGTTATTTCTACCAAAGCCTGCAAACCTGCAAGGACTAAATAGATACCTTTTACTCTTTCCTAATAAAAAAAGAAAGGAAATAGGAAAAAGTAATGAAACTAAAAGTGCTTAGGTTTTACAATATAACTGACAATAATAATAACCATTTGAGCAGAGTTGTTTTGCTACATGAGGCTACTGTTGGGGTGAAAGCAGCCTTTCTTAAAGTGTGTTTTACTCATGTAGAAACATTTGCGTCTGTAAAACCATAATCAGATGAAAAGAAACAAAAGTTTGACACAAAAACCCAGAGGAATTATAAATTCCATGTGTGCATATCTGATAAAGTTAATAACAAAACATTTCTAGTACACCAAATAAAGTTGTTTCCTATCAGCCACAAACTAAAGATTCATTTTTTTCTTTTTTGGAGCTGCTCAATTGAGACTTTGGGATTGAAGTGTCTTGTGATTCTCACAAACCATTATATTTGCTTAAATCTGCTCTGCAGTGATCAGTGTTTTTAAAGAAAGAATATTTCACAGCCCCGAAAGCCGACAGAGGTTTATTTAGTTTGTGCCAAAAAGACACAAAGAGACTTTGGTCAACTACATTGATCTGGAGGGAAAAAAAGATAAAACGATCATCCTGCAGATGAGTCTTTGTGCCGACCATCTTAGCATGAAATATAAAACCAACATCACCATATTGGGAAATAGCCCCGGCTAACTTTTAGAGAAATGCCAAAAAACATTTAATAAATATCTGCTTCTAATAACCACATGATTGATCAACTGGGAATTCAACAATGAGCAAGTATGACAAAACAAAGATTTGTTAGTTTCCTCCCAGCAACACATTATTGATGATCAACACATGATAGTTCATAATCATAATCATTTGGAGGTAATAAAAAAAAAAAAAGCAGTAACGTGTCATGCCATCTCAAGGATTAATCCAGTAACATAAGGTAAATTCTTAATATCTTCAATACGATAAGCACTGTTATGTGGCTGACTTAATAGTGTTTTCAGCCTAAAAACAAAACAATAGAAACACAAAAACCTCTGAAAAAGTAAGCAAATCTATCTATGTTACCTATAGTATTACATTTTAAAAGACAAATTTCTATAATTCTTATTAGTAGTGAGATTATATCATAGAAAGTTGATGTAGGTGTCAGATTGTTAGGGCATCCTTTTATGTCTTTAACCGCTGTGTTTCCTTTTTTTAATTTAGCCTACTGTTACTTCTACAAAGCCAGGAGCACACCTATCAGTCAAGCTGATAAAAAACGCACAATTTTCTAAATACAAATAGCTTTTTTCTTCTTTGTTCAACTATGCTGATGTCTGTAACTCCTAATCACTGATCCTTGTCTGATTTTTAAAATGGTCAAACTATTAATACGTCTTTGGTTAAAAATTGGACATGTCACGTGATCGGAGGCATTCAATGATTAAATGGACAAACAAAACAGAAAGGCTGTGTTTTTAAAAACAATCTGACAACTCAGCAAGTCAAAGCGAGCCGGTGTTCCTTGTTTTCTTTTTCTCTTCTTCCTTATTTCCTGTTTAGCCTATGAGAACGTACATTATGTGAACATGTTTTCTCTGCTCTGGTTTATTGCTGATTTTACAGTCAGGTGACTGAACATTAGGAAGCTGTTCACAGGTAAGATAGAAAGGATTTCACACATCCCATAAAATAGTTTAACATGAGAGTCAAGGCTTAAAGCTCTCTTGGATGTGTCAGGGTTCTCACCAGGAGTTTTTACGACCGTAGCAGGAGGGGTTATTTTACGCTACATATTCTTTTTTATGTCTTCTTATTATCTCCCCATGTGTGAACTATCCACTTGCAGCCTCTCTCTAAGCTAGCGGGGCCGTAGCACATGTGTTCACCTGCCTGTAGGCACTCAGGGTAAGTCAAGGACAGAGTCTGAGGGCTTCATGTTGTATAGAGCTTTTCGCACACATTTGTGCAAATAATGTGGCCGTTGCGCTCATTAAAAGTCAGGGTATCAGCCTGATTTCAGTTTCAATTTGACAGGTTTCAGTATAACCAGCGTTTTTGCTAAAATGAGCTGGACAGAGCCCTGGGGAGGGAGCAAAAATGTCAGTCAAAGGGGAATTAAAAAAGTTAAACTGGTAACCAGTAATGTCAGCATAGCAGGGATGAACATAAGCATAGCAGTAAAATATTCTACATTATTTTCAATGTTCAGAGTGATTTTACTGAGAACCCACAAATAGGCCAGGAGGGAATCGATTATCAAAGATATAAAGCTGTTTGGAGGTATTTACAGCTGCAAAACACATTGACAGTCAATTAAGGATATTCCAATCCGATATCGACATCTAAAATCAGTCCAACAGAAGCCTAAAAAAAAAAAAGAGAACTTATCCGTATATATATCTGCCCGATTCTAAAATCACTGATATATGCAGGCTGACAGAAACTGCATAAACCAGTGGTTTAGTAAAAATTGGTCAGTGTGGTTCTCATAAGTGCTGTTGATGACTATTGTTCTCACTTGAACAAGCCTTTTCTAATATGCTACACAACAAAGATGTAATAAAAGTATGTATGATTCATGCTAATGTTGCATCGGGACAATGTCATGGTGAATCTTCAAAGCTGCATTATCGGTATCATATTGGAAATAAAAACTTGCATCAGGACACCCCTACATTTATATATAGAACCTAAAGACCACCATCCATCCTTTTAGTTGTGCTTATGCAACAGCTAGAGGGATAAAAGCAGCGTGTCTGATAAGGTAATAACTGTGGTACGCACTCCTGCAGCTAAGAGTCAATTAATATCAACTTTAAACAATATACTAAGTAAAATATATCTAATAGCTATACATAAAAAAGAAAAAAAAATCATTCCTATATAGAGAATGTGATTTATACAACCTTAGCAGTTACTGTTACTTTTTTTATAAAAAATCAATTTGATAAATATTTTTCATTGATGTTTACTGTTTTCTTAAGAAGTCTTACTATCATTTAGTTTATAACCTATAATCAAACACTAATAAAGTTTATAAATTGATTTTCATCCTCACGCTGTATATCAACCTCTAACATTTATATGGCAAGACATTCTATTCTTGATTAACAGATTATTGAGAATTGTACAAATACATTTTAGAATGCACTTGGATAACATTTCCCACCCCATGCATGAAGCTGTTGCAGAACTGGAGAGCTCCTTCAGTGACAGACTGCTGCCCCCTAAATGCACCAGGGAGCGTAATCACAGATCCTTCCTCCCAGCAGCTGTAAGACTCTATAACCACCACTGTTCCCAACAACCTCAATAAGTTGTTACATTCATGCTGGTTTTGCACAGTTTCTACCTTACCTTAGTCAGTTAAATATCATGCTGCTGTCATTTTGCACATCTCTGATGTTGCAGCTTTTTTCAAATATCCATTACTGTAAAAAATGTCTGCAGCTGTATAATGGTTATTATCCAGGTGCACAAGTCAAGTTTATACTGTTAAACACTTTACAGTGCAGAATTTTATTGTTTATCTTTTAACTCTTCACTATTCTGTTATTATACATTTTTCTGAGGTCAACATTTGTGTGACCATTTCTCTCTATAATCTTTTTGCTGCTGTAAACACCAGAATTTCCCCATTGTGGGACAATAAAGGGATTTTCTATTCTAATTTTTGTATTAAAACACTGGTATAAACAAAACAAAACAAAAAATCTTTTAGCATCTGAATTTATAAATAAACTTCTAGGTTAAATGAAATAAGTTTGACCTGTATCTCTCTGGAGTGTGAGTAGTCTAAAGCCTAATTGTCCAAAGATGTGAGCAACAGGGCTGTTGACGGCTATCTCTAAATCACCATATCGAGGAACTACGACGCAAACTAACCCAAATCCTACAGTCAATATTAAACCAACAGGGTTATTGTGTTAAATTAAACCAACCAACGCTAACCAGATGAAACAGCCTTTGAACAAACAGTTGAGCTATAAGCAGAAGCAGGTTTGCTAGTTAGCTCAGGCTAATCAACATGCACAGGCTGTTCTCCAACTTATGTAAGCTGGTTAGCTTTCTGTTTACCTCCCCAGCTAGGGTCATGTGAACTACTTCACCAAACGTTTATTTTAGACGTCAATATTATATATATATATTCACCGGTTTGTTAAATGCTATAATTATAAATTAGTAGAAATGTTACAGAGTCTTCAAATGTCATCCAAACACGCTAAATGGAGAGGCTAGCCTCGGTAGCTTAACTGGAAGGATTGAGGCTGGCTTACACTTCAAGGATCCTGTCACCCTTCGCTATCCCCGCTCGGTCTGCTGCTCCTCCGGGTAGAACAGCGCTGACGTGCTGAAGCGGAGCGTACAGTTCCCCGTTGATGCTCCGGAGCTGGCCTCCCTCGCTGACCTGACCGCGAACGTTAAAACCGTAGCCGGACTCCGACTTGACGATCCGCACTACCCGAGGACCAGACGTTACCGTTGCTGCGTTCTGGCCCGCAGACGAACCGACGACTGGAACGTGCTGGCGGGTCGCCGCGGGGTGAGCAGGCCGACTTTCATCGCCGACCACATCCGCCATCTTCTTATTTAACGGGTACTAAAAATTCCCCTTCTCGTTTGCAGCCGGTGATTTCCAGCAAATTCAAAACAACAGTTGAGCTCTGTCCCCCTCTCAGTTACGTTAGCTCTAAACAGACCGACTCTGTTGATGTGGACACGCCCCTCGGTGACGTTACGAGTCACAGCAACACAACGTGACCAACCGGAAGCGTCAGTATGCTGCGCTTTTTTATTCTGTGCGAACTGCAAAATCGTCAAAATGATGTATAGCAAAATTGTATACAAATAATTTTAAAGTCTCTGTTGTTCTATCAGAACGTTACGGAAGAGGATTAGGGCCACTAAAAAAAATGAAAAAAAAGTGAACTGATTTAATATATATAGTATAATAATAATATAATATAATATGAGAAAGAAGTCATAACTTATTCTCATATTGACGTTAATGTCAGAATTCTGAATTTAATCTCAGAATTCTGACTTTATTCTCAGAATTCTGACTTTAATCTCAGAATTCTGACTTTGATCTCAGAATTCTGACTTTATTCTCAGAATTCTGACTTTAATCTCAGAATTCTAACTTTAATATCAGAATTTTGACTTTTATTCAGAATTCTGACTTTTTTTTCTCAGAATTCTGACTTTAATCTCAGAATTGTGACTTTCATCTCTGAATTCTGACAGCTAACAAACATGTTGGCATTAAGCCATGTATCTTGTTTTAATAACCTTCTGCCCTTCCATTAATTAAATAGCACCTTTGTGTTAAACAGCATTACTTAAAAAGTCGCCTTACTCCATAATTTTCCACCAATGTGTTACTGACCCTCCCAAACAACTCACATCTTTGTCAGTGAAGCTGAGTGCTCCCACATCTCTTCCTTCATGGTGCCCATCTACATTACGATCCAAAATACTGAGATCAAAGTCAGAATTCTAATAAAAGTCAGAATTCTGAAAGCAAAGTTAGAATTCTGAGAAAAAAAGTCACAATTATGTGATTAAAGTCAGAATTCTGAGATTAAAGTCAACATTTGACTTTTCTTTTTCATTTAGTCAGAATTCTGACATTTTTCTCATATTATACTGAAATAAAATAAAAAAATCAGTTAACTTTTTTTTTTTTGTTCAGTGGCCCTAACCCTCTTTCGTAGAACTTTTATTCTCAAAATGTAATTTACAAAGCTAACGCCACAAATTATACTCATATAGACTACAAAATGATACATCAACATTTTCAATAGAATGATAGAAAATCCATTTTTAAAATGTTGCTCCATCAAACTGTAAAGCATTTAGAAAAGGACTGAATCCTTTTCTTTATGATGAAATTTTTATAGCGTTTCAATGCTCTTTTAATCTACGGTAGCTGCTTTTGTGCTTGTCTTATTTATCTATTACCCTTATCCTTTTATGTTATATTTTCCCTTCACTTAGCACTTGGATTTTTTGAAACATATTGTGCTTTATAAATATAATGGATAAAAATATTTCCAATGAATATATAGACCTATTAAATTAATTAGTAAAATGTTAAATATTAAGTAAATTTTATGTAAAAACTATTATTGCACCATTAACTAATTTAAACTGTAACTGTGGCTTGTCAAATCTACCCTAACAATTCACAGTTGAACTTCCACCACCTATACAACTATATTTAAGGGAAATTCATGAGGATATATACGATTTTTGAAAGGCAAACTTGAAAGGCAAATAGAGAGCTTATAGATACAGATATCATAAGAAATACTCCTAAATGCAAAATATTGTGCAGTTATACTGTGTTAAATTACTCACCCCTCCTTTGTCTGTACTTGTTCAGCCTACGAACACTGTGTGTAGGTACAGTAGGTGCCTCTTTCTTTAGAGGTCTTTGGGATTCAGCCGAATGGACAGTCCATTAAACGGCAACAAAGAAACAGCCAGAAAGTAATTTAGAAGAACCAGTTTATCATAACTGTTTTTGGATTCAGTCAGCAGACAAACTAATATTAGCATAACCTACCAATAGGAGAGCAGCCCCATGAAAAGTTGCACATTGTTAAATAATAACATGGACTCATACAACAGCCACGTTGTATTTAAAGATGAGGTATACTAAGAACCTCAGGCTTTCATAGCCTTTGAGTTTCTTATTTTATAAAAGTGTAATTGGTTTTGTTCAGATCGTACCCGTATATCCATTTTCTTTTCATCAGTGACACAAATGGGTCTAACAATAAAGCCAAACATGACATGTATTGAAACACCGGTATTAAATTCTTACCATTGTTAGCTGTGAGATCCCTGTTTTTAAAGTTAAGAGGCTAATATTTGGTTGCGTTTCTGTATTTTTATTCTTTTGGGGTGGCAGATGAATTTAGGCAAGAACTTCCTTTGGATAAAACATTCAATAACTGAAATTGTTCATATGCTTGGAGGTTTCTTATTTAACTAAAATGAAGGTTTTTTCTTTTTTTAAGAAACTCAAATTGTGTTTTTATCTCATTAGTTATTAATTGTACAAGACTCATTTTATTTCCATGGCATAACTAAATACACTGCTAAAAAATAAGGGAAGACTCAATTGACACATGCTAGATCTGAATGAATGAAATATTCTCATTGAATATTTCTCTACAAAGCTGAATGTGCTGACAACAAAATCACACTGAAACCATCAATGGAAATCCAATTTATTAACCAATGGAGGCCTGGATTTAGAGTTAAAAATAAATAAATAAATAAATAAATAAATAAAGTGGGAAAAAACACTACAGGCTTTGATGTAATGTCCTTAAAACAGGTCAAAATTAGCCTCAGTACTGTGTGGCCTCCATGTGCCTGTATGACCTTTCTACAACATCTGGGCATGCTCCTGGTGAGGTGGCAGACAGTATCCTGAGGGATCTCCTCTGAGACCTGGACTAAAGCATCCACCAACTCCTGCACAGTGTGGAGCAATGTGACGTTGGTGGATGAACACGGACATGATGTCTCAGCTGCGCTCAATCGGATTCAGGTCTGGGGAACGGCAGGGCCAGTCCATAGCTTCAATGCCTTCATCTTGCAGGAACTACTGACATTGTCGTGAATTAGGAGGAACCGGGGGCCAACTGCACCAGCATATGGTTTCACAAGGGGTCTGTGGATCTCATCTCAGTACCTAATGGAAGTCATGCTGCCTCTGGCGAGCACATGGAGGGTTGTCCCCCTGAATGAGTTGACATTGAACACTGAAAAAAGTTTATTCATTAATTTACTCATAATGGATACATTAATAGCCACAGGCCTACTGTGGGTTTAATTTAAAAGTGAACAAACCATGGTTTTAATAAGCAAACCAAACCACAGAACACAATCCAAACAACACACCAACACAATAAAGCAAAAGAAAACGAGTGAAGTGACATCAAATCAAACAACAGAAAAATAAAAAAAAAAAAAAAAAATAAAGAAAAATAAATAAGTAAAAAAGCTATTAAAAAAAACATGTAACGTATGTAAGATACAACCCAGAAAGCCTATCTTGGTCTTAAGAGATAAAGATGTAATTTGCTTGGAAATGTAAACACATGTACCAATAGGCTTTAAAAGGGGCTCTCACAGATAAATAAGCCTGAAATTAAGTAATCTATATTGAACCAGAGCATGCACTGGAAAATGACAAAAAAGTCCAAATTAAACATCGGAGCCTCTACTTGGAGATAAATACTTTAAATACTACTATAGCCGTGTTATAATGCAAAATTATGCATTTTCTTCTTCCCAATGAAAAACAAAATAAAATTCAAGTAAATCCTCAATTTAAAGCAGAGCTACTTCAATCCATTTTCTTACATGCTTTTCCCAAGTGCAGTTGCGAGGAGACCTGGTCGAGAGAGGCAGGTACACCCTGGACAGGTCGTCACTCCATCGCAGGGCAACACAGAGACAAACCATTCACACACACACTCTCAGAGAAGCCAACTAACCTAATTGGCTTCTCTGAGAGCCAATTAACCTAACAGTCATGTTTTTTGACTGTGGGAGGAAGCCGGACTACCCGGAGGGAACCAACGCATGCTCAGGGAGAACAGGCAAACTCCATGCAGAAAGACCCTGGGCCGGGAATAGAACCCAAAACCTTCTTGCTGCAAGGCAGCAGTGCTACGCATTGCGCCACTGAGCAGCCCTGCAGAGCATCTTATTCATATTTTTCATGTGGCATTACATAATCTCAAATGGTTAAGATTGTGTTTTGCAGTTATAACCAACCCAAAACTTTTCTGTATCACTGCTTGTGAATCAAACAACAGGCTGCAGACTAGCGGGGTTAATTATGCTGTTTCCTAAGAGGACGAAGATCCTGGTTTAGAATTTGAGCTTGGGGTCTTTCTCTATGTCAGCATCTTTTCTCTTTGCATGCAAATACCATCATCCTTCCACAGTGGGTGTGGAAAACCTCACAAATAATAGCTTATCTATCAGTCAGGGTGTAAAGATAAAATAATCTCAGATACACTGTTTGAGAGGGGAAAAACTATTTATTTTTTAATGACAAAATCATGTGAATCAAGAGTTGTGATTTCTTTTTTTTCTAGAGGCAGATCTTTCAGACGGCCTCAAGGTGGCACTCAGGCTACTATTTTTTTTCCAACAAAGTGCTCATGGCACATCTGGGTGAGGCAGCTGACCAGGTTGACAAACTCACTGAAGTCCACGCTGTTGCTCTTGTTGGTGTCTAGGTCCTTGAAGATGCGGTCGATTGCAGCCTGGTCATTGGCTTTCTGTATCAAAAGCAAAATGTGAATCTATTTCTTACCTTAAATCTCATAATAGAGATCTAACCATCATTTCAGTACAAAGCTACACAGATATCAAAATCATATGGACGATCATAAAGCTGACATAAATAGATTTTTACATACAGTGTATAATGCGAACAAACAATTGCAAGGTAAATGGGACTGTTTTGAGAAAAAAGATGAATGTTCTTTGAACAGTGCCTCAAGCGGTATTCTTACACTCTGAACCCCATAGATTTTGTTGCAGCTAAAAAAAAATCAATGTCTGTAATAGATACAATCATGAAGTCTACCAGCATTGCACAATACAGAAGGTTTTATTCAGGTTTTATTTTTCATTGACTGCAAAGTGTTAAATTGTAAAATACAATTTTATTTTTAAAAATTGCATACGAATTAGTTTATTTCATTCATAATAAATATATCAAGCTTCCGTCAAAATAGATTATCATATTAGCTTGAAACATGATTTATGTAAACTATGTGATTGTAGCTCTTGATCTATGTTTCAACCATATCTCCTGCTGGAAGGTTAAATATTAGTTGTGAATATTAAATAAAAAGGGAGGCAGATCTACGGGAGGGCTACTTTCGTGTTTGTTTTACAACCTTCAAATTAAGCATTAATAATTTACCAAAATCTCTAATATATACAAAAATTACGTTTTTTTTTTTGTATTCTGTATGATATGAAATATAAAAATAATGAATTGACTCCCATGAGAACAAGGTTTCTGAATAAACTGCTTGTGTGATTTTTCTCAATGTAACAAATCATTATATCCTTCATATTGCTATAGACGTCTTCCCATACTAATTGGGCTATTTTTTTAAATTTTTTTTTTACAAATCTTGATGGTTGAACAATGGTCGACCTAAACTCCTCTAAAAGTGGTGACTAAAATCGGTCTTGTATGGTAATTTAAACAGTTCTTTCTGAATTGGTCTTCTATTTTGGGACAGAATAGAAATGTGCAGCACTTTCTATGACTATTTGTATAATATGTTGAAAATAATGTATTAAAATGCATCCCTTATCTTCCACTCACTTATGAATGAAATGCACAAAGGTTTTTCATTTAGATTAAATAATTTAATAAGTTTAAAAAGCTGAAATATTTCTTTTTCTGTGGATCAGTGTGGATGAATAGCTCTCAGGTTACTTACACACAGCAGGTCTCCAAATTCATTCTGAAGAAGCTCCTTCAGCTCCTCTTTATTCAGAGTGTGCTGGTCTCCCTCCTTGCTGGCATATTTAGTAAAGGTGGTGATGAGGAGGGCCATAGCCTTTTGGATGTCGGACATGATGGCAGCTAGTTTATGATAATAAAAAAAGAGAATATAAAAAGATAAGCATATGCTTTGTTCTAAACTGGTAAAATGAATCAAAAAAGATACGACAATCATGAGGTTAAATTTGGTGTCATAACTAGAACATGATTGATAATCACATTCTTGGATCAGGCTACAAGAGTTAGTAAAAGAAAAAAGGATCTTTTAAGACCACAAGGCAATTATCTAGATCATCTAGTTCTAGATCAGTTGTGCTTTTTATTCATCAACAGCTCAGCTGGTTCTTGATATCATGATGTTCTTCTCTGGGTGTGTTTTTCCTTTCTGATTTTCCACCGAGTTGGATAAAAATATGCCCTGCTGGGATCCCACTTGGGGCCCCTCTGCTCCTATGTCACTCTGGTCTCTAACACAACAGAGTGACACGAGTCGTTGTTATGGTAACATCTCTATCTTTGCAGATCACCTCACCTGAACATGTTTAGTAATCAACAGCCTTAAAAATAATCCATATATCAGGAGTTTACTTATAATGCTTCATTTTTGTACCATGGTAGAGCTGTAAAAAGTTTAGCAGAAGCAGATGTGGTTGCATCGTGACCATTCCCTGGAGCACAGTTAGCAGAGGAAACCTGGTCATCAGGGGGTTTGTAAGCAGATGGGAATTGGGAAGGAAACGGACAGAAATCCTGCTCAGATCTTTCCATTTCCCCAACCTGTTATCTATGTATTATGAATAAGGCTATGTACATAGATGAAAAGAAAAAAAAATTCCCAGTAAATTGTATTATATAACAAATTCTGTGTGGCACATAAACTAGACAAAGCATTACGTTTTTAAACACGTCATATTATCTGGGGGGAGGTGAAAGGAAGATCCGGCACACATCTTAAAGACTGGACTGTGCCAGGGCCAATTCTAAAGAAACTATTTAAAAAATTGAATTTTACAATAAAGCAAAGAGTTTTTAAGCTTTTTGTTAAAAGTTTTTCTTTTTTTAAGTAAATGTTTCTGTTACTTAAAGCTTCATATTTACTTTTATAGGTAAGTCTAGAATACATTTCTAAACAAAAAACAAAAGAGAATCTCCATGACTTTGTACTCACCCAGGTTGAGAAGTTAGGAGATGCAAAGGAAGCAGTCCTGCAGGGATGAAGGAATGGATCTAAATGATGGTTAATACATCACCACGCCCTGAATCCCTGCCTGTAGGAACACTCCCATCATCTCCAGACACTCCTCCTTCTCTCCTCTTTTTTTGTTCCTGGCCTTATTCGTCACAATCTTGCACAATTTTATATTATTTTATTGATAGTATAGAAAAACAGAAAATCCCTTTATTGTCCCACAATGGGGAAATCGTGGTGTTACAACAGCAGAATCATTACAGCAAAAGTGTTTAAAAAAATGTTTATAAAAGTGTTTAAAAATAACAGAATAGTTGACACAATAATAAAAAATAATAATAATAAAAAAATATATATATATATATATATCCTGTAAGGAAGGAGGCCGATGACTAGTGAGGGTGAGAGTCACTAACCAGGACGAAACATCCATAGTATATAAAGAACAAGGCTTCAATAGACGACCTGCTCAGTGAATATCTCAGACAATGGGGAACAGAAGATGAGGTGCTGGAGGTTCTGTCATGGGAGGATAAGCCCCTACATGGGATGTACCACGGAAACGTAACCAAAGTGGCGGATATCAGGAAATCCTATATGGCTAGACAAAGATGGACTGAAGGACAGCACAGATGCACTGATCATGGCTGCACAGGAGCAGGCCCTGAGCAGCAGAGCAATAGAGGCCCAGATCTACCACACCAGACCAGACCCCAGGTGCAGACTGTGCAAAGAGGCCCCTGAGACAATCCAGCTCATAAGTGCAGGGTGCAAGAAGCTGGCAGGGAAAGCTTACATGGAGCGCCATAACCAAGTGGCTGGAATAGTGTACAGGAACAACTGTGCAGAGTGTAGGTTGGAAGAGTATCTTTGCACAGTCTGCACTGGGGGTCCTGTCTGTTGTGGTAGACCCAGGCATATATATATATATATATATATTTTTTTTTTTTCTTTCTGAGAAAAATATCCAAGTTTTCCAGATAACTATTGGCAGACTTTATGGAGGAAAACTAGAAGAAATTAAAGAAGATGAAACATAAAGGTAAGGGCACTATGAAGACAATAAAAAAGAAAAGACAGGAGATATAGAAAAACATTAACAAAATTGACAAAAAAAAACCAAAAAATTTATTTGAGCCTGGGATTCAAATAAAAAAAGTTGATCTCAATTTCTTCAGAACGACAAAAAGACAGAAAGAAAGAAAGAAGATGCAATGGAAGAAATGGTGGAATCAAAGTAAGTAAGAAAGAAAGAAATAGCCAAAGTGAATTCACTCTAGATAGAAAAATAATTCCCAAAACACACATTCTCTTTTTCGAGACTTATGCAGAACTGGTGAAGTATTGATCTGCAGCCCCAATAAAACATACAGATGAGGTTTTGATTGTGAAGTAAAATCTGTTCAATAGAAATAAATAGTTCTCTAAACACGCCAGCATTGACACTGTGAATTGTAACAGATCGTCCCTGCCACTCTGTGTAAGCAGGAGGCTGTTTCTAATTTTTTTCCCCCTTGTTTTAGAGTCGCATGACTCTAAACAGAAAACACTGGGAACAGTGACTCACTGTTAGCTGACTGTTAAGCTTTACTCTTCTTTTCAAATGAGAGAATTTGCGATTTATGGTCCCTTCTTCAAACCTCAAACCAAAGAGCTCATGGATAAAAAAAAATCAACAGTGCAGACAGTTTGAACACTGTTTATGTGTGTTAATGTGCTGTTTTTATTTTATCATCAGTTCTTAAAGGTAAAGTTGTAGAGACCAATTCTGTTTTGATTTTTTTTGTTTTCTGTTCCAGAGAAAAAAAAAGACTCTAGATTCAAACCATCATGGTTAGTGCTTCGTGTTCCTTTCTTTTGTGAAAATAAGTTCTCAAACGTTGTCTTCACCGTTGCTTGATTTCCTTTTACTAACTTGGGTCCACCAGAGTTGGAAAACCGCATGACCAATGAAGCAAGTATTAAAAACAGATTTCATTCCATCATTATATTTCTCAGATAATTATTAAGTAAGATACTTTTCAATGAAATTGGGTTTGTACTCTTCTACCCTCTAGTGACTCCAACCTGCACATTATTAACTGGGTCTTTCAGCATTAGTTCTCTAATACAAAGCAAAAGTAAACAGATTTGAGAATTAAAATATTTACTTAAAATATCACCTCCCTTTGCTCTGTGGTGGTCCCCCTCAAGCTTATATGTTATTGCAGCAATTCAGAATAAGGTAACAATGATGTAAACAGCAAATATCTCCTAACTTTAATAAAATCCTTATGATAATTAGATTTGATTACCTATCAAAATAAAACCAACAGTTTAGTTACCTATGTATTGTTTGTTTTTAGAGATTAAAATGTGAAGATTAAACTGTTCTCCAAAATAATATTAAACTTTTTTTTAGTTTATTAAACATTGTAACCAGTATTATGATATTTCTTTATGAATATTGATTATTAACTTTCTTAACCTTTTTATTCTTAAGGTAATCCTTGTATATTTACTATGAAAGTACAAATTAATATAAGAGTATGAAACTAGAACTCAAAGAACTCAATTCCACATCCGTGGAATGCCTTCCCTGACACCTTGAGGGCACCTCAATCCAATCCAATGTTTTTTAAAAAAAGGCCTTAAATATGTCTTTTTAGCAAAACTTTTGGTCCCCTTTAAATATTTTTTTCTCTCTTTTAAAACAGCTTTTATTATTTTTGTTTTTATGTATATCTTTTTTAATGCTTTTCGTTTTTGTAGTACTATGAAGTCTTTTTGATGAAAAGTACAGTATAAATCACATGTATTATTATGATTATTATTATTGTACAAGAGCATAAAATAAAACTGGTAACTTCTGGCATGATATTAAGATTAATTCATTTTAGTCGATTTTGATTCTTTTTTGTATGAGGCCCTGGCAAGCTTTCCAGATAATTTGCAGAAGCTGGATTTAGTATCTCATAAAAGCTCCATCACAGCTGTAAAAAAGGTTTAAAAGTTCAAACAAAAAAGTGGCTTTGATAATGAGGAGCTTGTGTATCTAAGCTTGGTGTGGTGTGAAAGTCGTAAAAAATGCCTTGAGCAAGGGTCTATTTATTTTATTGAGGTATATAATGTTTGTGCATCTGAACTCAGCACCATACGAGCTGTTGAGGCAAAAACGTATACAAACTTGATCAAACTAAAACACCTTCGCACAACAGCTTGGTGTGAAAACAGTGAAGAAAACATGAAATCCCGACTCTAAATTCAGCTCACATGGGTGTGGTGCTTCTCTAAACACACAGTAGTGCACAGTCAGAAAACTGTAACATAGCAACTACAGTGTTTGCTCTGTTACCATGAAGATAAGTCTGAAAGTCCAGCCCATGAGGATGAGGGTATTTCCCCCTGAGTTTAATCTTTCAGGCAGGGGGTTGAGGCGCTATGTTAACCAATAAGGCACAGGTCCTACTGCTTTGTCTATAACTTGTCATGTAGGAGGACATTTCTCAATGAGACATGTTGGTTTTATTGAAGGAAAATGCCTAAAAACATGTGCTGGCATGGCCAATAGAGTGAATCAGAACCCAAAAACAAGTAAAAACTGAAACAATTTTATGCTCAGATGACTGTGTCTTGTGACTCTATCCCTCTGCATTTCCTCATGAGGCCTAAAGATTTCCTCGATACTGTTCCAATCCACCCTCTTTTGCAGTTTACTAATGTCCATTTCATTTATCAGTGTTGGAAGTTGCAACACAAGCTGAGTGGGTTTACTTCGCAATAGGGCGTGTTGAGCCTGGAACGCTTTGCAAATTCCTCAGGGCAGTGATAAGCAGGACTTTATGAGGGGAAGAAGCAAAGTTCATCTCTTCTCAGACTTGAGGCGGCATAAAAGCATTACTCCGTCACACTTGCTTTCAGAGACCCTCTTGCCAAGAGATTGATAATGAGTTTTATGAGGTAAAAGGCGTAAAAGTTACTGTTGGAGTTTAATCCCTATTCGATTTGAAAACTTAAGTGAAATTCAGTTTATGTAGGTAACAGATGCATATACAAGTCTGTCAACTTTGAGAATTCAATTACATTAACCTCCTATAGCCACTTTAAAGAAAATCTTTTGCTGGACCAAAGATTCTAACCTCTGAAACTTGCAAGTGGTTTATTGTTATTCCCAAAATATGTCAAATGTATAACATTTCTTGTACTTTTGTTTATATTTCAGTGATATGATTTGGTTTGCAATAAGAATAGTCTTCTTTGGCTATAAGCTAGAAATCAGAAAGTGTTTGAAATTGATGGGTTGTAACATGATATGTTGTTTGTTAATGTGGTAAACTCGGGATATGTAGCTGTCTGTAACAAAACAATCTCAGTCAAGAAATACTACTAATGCAATAAAACGTGGACCTTTGCATCTCTTTTAGCCTAAAGAATATAGATAAGACATGCAAAAAATAAAGTTACTTCTAGTGTGTCTCTCACTGGATGATGAACACATCTAAATGCCTCCTTCCCCCCATGCTCTGTCCAGTGAATCAATGAGAAAGGACCTTAGAACCCTCCAAGAGGCCAAGTTAGGACTATGCTGATCAATCTTTGTTAGATTTTGTTGCGTTAAACTGATTTTTTTGGAATGCACTCTTGAGCTGTGCATCATGTTAGATCTTGGATGTTTGTTTTGTTTCTCTTGATAATACTACCCTATTTCAAGTTAAAATGGAGAACCAATAAGGTACCAAGTGACCAATCAGACCGACTCTCCAACCAAAAATAAAAGGTCTTATAATTGAATCTAAGAGGATGGGTGCCAGCGCATCATAATGAATATTTAATGAGATTTTCATTTATACTTCATAATTGTATAACTTTATCCGATAAATGTGTTAAAATGTCCATTAAATTGCTGTAAATTGCTGGAAGACTGTTTCATCAGTGTGAATAGCATAGTTGTGGCTGTCATGAACATTTTGTTGTGTAACTTAAGGTATTATAAGTGCTTTAAAAAGTCAAATGAATAAAAGTATTTTAAAAAGGAGATAATCAATTTACACTCTTTTAGATCAAACAGACAGTAGAAGTTTAAAATCAATCACTGAATTTATTTGATAAAACAATCTTTACAAAAAAATAGCATGTTCATTTTGCTTTCTGTCTTTTACTTATTTCTTCAGCCCTTTGTGCATCTTATAGCACTGCTCACAGGCAACAGACAGTCCAACAACCAGAGAAACAAACTCCTCAAAGTCCACCTGGCCATCACCATTGGCGTCCAGGTCCTTCATGATCTTATCAATAGCACCAGGGTCCTTTTGAGACTGTTGGGAGACACAAAAAGAAATCAGAAATGAGAATCTGCAAGATTCTAGCTCTTTACCTGATGTTAAAGATTTTCTAAAATGTTTCCCCGCACCCTGAGGAAGTTAGCCAGCTCGTTCTCCATCAGCTGTCTGAGTTCTCGCCGGCTCAATGTTCCTGCGCGGCCGTCCTTAGAGGCATAACGGTGGAACACCACGATGAGCAACTCCATGGCTGTCTCCAGGTCGGAAGGCATGGCTGCTGTGAATATGTGCTGGCTGAAAATAACAGACAGCCCACAGAAAAAAAACATCATGCAAAGATCAAACCTCATCAACATAATCAAAGACCAGAACAAGGAGATCTAAACTGTTTAAGTTTAGTTCTAAACTGCATTTTTAATTTGGGGAACAGGAATAAACCCCCAGAAGGTGATTTAATCCATTTAAATCTCTATCTTAATACTTAACCAAATGAGCCACTGTAAATGGTTTTAAAGGAATGCAATGCATTTAAAAGTACCTGTATGCTTTGTCTCTCAAATGGGTGAAGTTCACAAGCAGTTATTATGCAGGGTATGTTATTAAGTTGTTAGTCAGCAAGATAGGAGCTTTTGGCTCAAGCTGACAGAAATAAAAAATAATCTCTTCAAATTCAATCCTGTTGATGCTTTGTTGTAGCAACAGCTTGAAAAAAGAGGAAGTATGAGGGAAAACTCAGACTGTGGTATTGGTGGAAAAGTTGAAGTAGATGACTAATGAGAGGCCCAGCATGGTGGGATTCAAGCAATGAGAGAGGGCACTGCAGCAACATGTCCACGGTCACTACCACACCCTAATTTTAACCCACAATGCACCTCTACAGGCAACAAACAGCACTTTATGAGGCTTCATTTTATCTTCTGGGGCTAAAGTTATAACATCTCTGAAAGAAGTTGCTTAAACTTACACAAATCTGACATATTTTTATAAACTAGATTTACTTTAGGTTAATAACTGAAAGACATGCATACATCAATGAAAAAACAGCATTAATAATCCCCAGACAATCCTGGATTGGCCCAACCAGTAAGAGAGAAACACAATTGGTGTGTCCTTACCGTGGAGAACGTGAGGAGGCTCCGGCAGAGGAGAGGGCTGAAAATGTGCAGAAGACTGAAAGAAAAGCAGCAAAGGTTTTATACTCAGGCACCGCCCCAAATGCTGTGAGTCAGACTCTCCTGTTCACTGAAACCATAACAGAGTGCATGAGGGCGGAAAGCAAAAGGTTTGAAGTTAGGGAGTAGCCCAGAGGTCCTTTAATCACTGCACAGGCTGTGGATCTGGTTGCCACTGACTGATAATAACTTCTTACTTTCCAGTTATTTCATCACTGAATAATGTCATTAGATCCAATCTTTATAGTTGTATCATCAAATGAATAGGTACAGCATCTATGTGTTTACTTGATTGGATCATTCCAGTTTGTGTTACTGATTAAATCATACTGTTTCTAAACTTTGTAAACCTCATTGTGTTATACCTGTCTCTGCAAAGATTAACTGACTGACAGTTCTTTCTGATTGGTACCTTCATTAAAGTGTAATAATAAACATACAAGCAAACAAATGTGAAGAACACAGATACAGAAATTCTTCCACTCAATGACGTCAATAAGGCTGAAGGCTGTCTGGAGCTGCTTCCTACCCTGGATAGTTTTTTTGCTGTCAACCCCACAAAAGGTTAAAGACAGGTGAAGGAAATTAATTCACTAAGAAATAATATGAAAAAATTCTAGTACTTCTGCATAGGTTAAAAAAAAGGTTAAAAATGAAGTTGGGAGAATTTTTTGTGGCTCTTTTCTGATGTAGGTCAGACTGTCTCCTTGTCTACCACTGGTAGCTGTGGTTTTAGTGCATAAATGCCACCATCTGGCGGTAGTATATTGGTACTGCAGCCCATATATACTTAGTACTGCAGTCCATATATAATATGGAGGGTTATTGGTGCAAGGATATATTCAAATATCTCGAATTGATACAGTATCTTTGTTTTTCTAAAATAAATGTTCTTTATTCTTTCTTTAATGCAACATGAGGGACAAAATGCAAGTGATTATACCTTCTTTCCCCACAAACTCACCCAGGAAGAGTGTATCCTGTAAGAAGGACACTAGTTTTCTATAGATAGAGCATGATCAGATTGAATTTCCTCTGTAAAGTGCCTTGGGTTGAAATTTTGTGAGCTGGTGCTATATAAATAAACTGAATTGAATTATGAATAATTTACCGGTAGTTTGAATTTATTGTAGAGTAGGAAACACAGTTAAATTCCTTCACACAAATTGTGTCTTAGATAAATGAAACAGCTCTAGAGTAAATGAAAACAAAATGACTAAACCAAAAATGAGTAAGAAGATACACTCTGGTACTATTTGATGAAAGAATTAAACTCCCCTTTCAATTTTCAAAATCTTCAACCAGTTTTAGTTTAAGCTAGCTTAGAATAGACAACTTTGAGATGTCAACCCTTGTCAAACATGGGGATAAGGACTGCTTAGGGCTCCTGGGGAACTACATTACATCAATGTATATTTAATTACATAGAAATTATCACCTGAAAATGATTTTGGTATTTGGGGTAGATTGACGAAGATGAGGAAGAACCACTGTATACTTCTCCAAGACAACCTTTTCTTTGGAGAACAGTCCACTGGCTACAGAGATGGAAAACCTTCCAGACCTCCTTTACTCACTTTTCTCTCTGAAAATGAGATCCGAGTTCATCATGACCTGCACACCTGCCTGCAAGTGTTGCATCTGCAGAAAGAAGCTTTCTGCACACTCAAATTAATAAAGAACTAGCTAAATTTTCCCTTGTTAGAAGAATGACTGAGTGGGCTAGCACTTATTAACATGTACAAAAAAGTTGGCTATTGGAGCTCTTGCAGTGATTACTTTACGATCAGAAAGGCTGGGAAGCACAGACTTTAAGGGTGAGTGTGCAAAGGAAGAGCAGAGGAACATTAAAAGTTGTGTGTGGGTAAATGTAATTAATGCTTTCAGATAGATCTTTTGCATATAGCTACATTAATTTACAGTTTTAAGAGCAAATAATTCAACTTTTTTCACTGCCAGGATTTAGTTTATTTTATATTTCCATTGTTTAAGAAAATACTTTTATTTTCTGATTTAACATTGCCTGTTAATCTCAAATTATACCCAATATATGTATTCATCAAATCAATTCGTTTTTTTGCACATCGCTGTTGCAGCTGAAACTGAAAGATATGAACCACATGACACTTTTCTATAAATAAACTGCATACTAGTTTATTTATTTTTTCGAAGCAAAAAATAAAAAGTCCTGCTAAGTATATTACTTAGTAATATAAGATAATGCATACCAATTGGATAATGTAAACAGCACTGCCAGAGCTGCACTGGGTTTATAATAGGTGTGTGAATGATCTGATCGTCAGGCGACTGATTCCAGTAATCGATATCATGGCTAGGAGTAGATAGCCCCAAAATTCAATTTTGCTTAGGTTGCCATGGCTGTCATAAAACGGGACAGATGGACCCAGTATTTAAGGTGAGACAGTCAGTAGGAAAGTTCAAAATAATTATTAGAATAAAAGGACAGAAACAGAGTTGAAGGATCTGCGAACCTGCAGCGACTGAAGGAGGGGGGCGGGGCAATCACTGAAGAAACACAGGTGAGTGACCACGATCATCGGACAAGAGATGATTATCAGAGTGAGTCAGTTACCTGGTTTAACAGTTCAGTCCATCCTCTCAATAATAGGCAGGATCAGCCGATGCACAGCACACGAGATGCGGCCGTGAGCCGCCCAGAGTGTCCCCGACCCAAACAGGAAACGGAGGGATCGAGGCCTCCAGGAATCCTCAGAGCGTGAGGGCAGGTTCAGAGTCCCATGCGTAGAGCAACCAGCTCAGACAGAAACGCAAAGACACAGACAGGCAGGGTCCAGCAGGAGTCCAAAGGAGGTTCATGCAAACAGATCAGATGGGGACAGACAGGGCCAATGGATGAGAGGGAACGGAATCAGGAGTCAGAATCCCTTGGGAAACGCTGAAACGCTCTCACCACTGGTTAAGCAATAATCTGCCTGAAGACACTGGCTCCAGAATCATCACTGGAATGGGGACATGAACCTTGGACTAAGTAAAACTTATGAAAACCGAACCTAAAAACATCTAACAGGGAACAAACAAACAGCAAGCAAGCAATGACCTGGCCCTGATAGCTGAAACTGAGCCCAATATAAAGGAACAGACACAAGTGGATGAGATTAGTGATAATTGGAGACCTGGCAGAGTTAGACAGGAGAAGGCAATGACAATTAAGGCCAGCTATCAGGGCAGATCACGACCATGGCGGTTTGGGAAACCCCTGGTTGTTGGTTCAAGAACACATGGTAACAATTAGGTCCATTGTTAATCCAGTTAACCCTTAATTAAACATAAGAATGAACACATAATAAGCCATTTAAAAAAAGGAAGGCAGATAAGACCTTCCACCACGGCAGGAAATAAGATGCCTTGAAATTAATATTAAATTACTAATCTTATTGATGGCATATGTAGAATGTCAAAGCATTTTCAATATAAAAGCAAAACTGTTGCTGCTGCAAATTAAGAAAGAGTTACTGTTGTAGAAAATTGCTCAGCAGTTAATGCATGAGTGTGATTTGACAGAATTAAAGTTGTATTTTTGACACTACTCTTATTCAACATCCCATAAAATAAAGTGCATACATCAGGTATATATATATATATATATATATATATATATATATATATATATA